CTTATATAATGGATCATCATCTCTATGCTTATCTCTATTCAGAAATGGATCGTCCTTACCATGTCTGGACAAGAAAGTCACAGGGATATTATGATCCGAGGAGCAACGTAATATTGATTGAGCCTCCTCTCAAGTGCATTTGGAGAAGGCATCATTTGTTGAGTAATAGTTAAATGTAAACATAATACGTTAATTTTTTTTAAAACATTGATTTAATTTTTAAAGTTATTTTATAGGAATTGATCAGATTTGTTTACAAATTACTTTTAGTTTTCATGTGTCTCTCTTAAAGGTTAATTTCCCAATGATATGGCTCTTGAATTCTCACAAATCATGGTGTGGTGGTTAACACACTGTAATTAGATGATGAAGCTATTTTAAACCATCAAGGAAAGAAGGCACTCACATGCATGGAAATACTTCTTCTTGTACAGATCTCTCTCCTTGAGGTCTTCTTTGGTGATGGCTTCACCTTGATTTTCTCAGGACTGTGGAGAAGACAGGTCAGTACCAGCACGTGCTTTCATGACCCGTTTCCTGTTTGGTTAGAGAGTTCAGCATCATATGCCTAATGCCTTTCAAACATTGAAATCAACTTATAGTTCTACATTCTAATAAGATCAAACCTGAGCAGCAAATTTTGTTAATCTCGAACCAGAAGCACAAGTCAATTGAACATAAGAATGCAAACAATGACAGTAGAAAATTTTCGTCATATGTTTACTCAAAATACTGCAATATAGTGCTACTCATAACAAGACTTGTTTGTTTGTACTTGAGACGAAGTACGAGACCAGTTGCGATTGCTTTCTCCACTTATGAGTTGCTTGACAAGTAAAACTCAGAAATGAGTGAAAGGATGTCTTTCATCTCAGTCCCACAAGCTGTAAGCATAACTTGACCATCTGGGTTGTTGACCGTAAGCTCACTACAACAAAATTGTTCTACAGCGGCGTTTTTAGCGCCGTTTTAGGAGTAAACGCCACTAATTTTAAACATATAGCGGCGTTTACATAGAAAACGCCACAAAATGGTAACTTTAGCAGCGTTTTTATAAAAACGCCGCAATAGGTTCATCGATAGTTGTGTTTTTTCAACAAACGCCGCAAAAGAGTAGTACTTTAGTGGCGTTTTTATACAAACGCCGCTAAAGACTCGTAATTTAGTGGCATTTTTATACAAACGCCGCTATAGAATTGTACTTTAGTGGCGTTTTTATACAAACGCCGTTATACACATGTACTATAGTGGCGTTTTTATAAAAACGTCGTTATACACATGTACTATAGTGGTGTTTTTATAAAAACGCCGCTAAAGACTCATACTTTAGTGGCATTTTTATACAAACTCCGCTAAAGACGCGTACTTTAGTGACATTTTTATGCAAACGCCGTTATACACTTGTACTATAGTGGCGTTTGTGTTTACAAACGTCGCTAAAGACTCGTAATTTAGTGGCATTTTTATACAAACGCCGCTAAAGACTCGTACTTTATTGACATTTTTATACAAACGCCGCTAAAGACTCGTACTTTAGTGGCGTTTTTATTCAAACGCCGCTATACACTTGTACTATAGTGGCGTTTTATAGCGGCGTTTGTCAAGTTTACAAATTTTAAGTGTCGCGCCCTTTAACCTTTTTTTCATTTTTTCCCTTTCAAGCATTTTTCAATCCCGCTGTTTACCCAAACCCATCTTCTTCACTACCAAACCCCAACCCCATATGTTTCACTACCATTTTTATGTTATCTCTGATTTAGATTCCCTTATCCATATTTTTAAAAGAACTCATCGCTGGAATTGAAGAGCAAGGAATCTGAAGTTGAATTACAGAGATCCAAATGATGGATCTAAACCTGAATCAACTAGAACCGGGTTGGGGATGAATTGAGGAAAGAAGCTCGAAAGATCGAAGGCGATATATGAGGGTAAGCTAATTCATCTGTTCTTCTTTCATGAAATTGGGTTTTAGTTCTACCCCTCTTTTCTGATATATATATTAATTTCTTATCGGTTTTATTTTCAGAATAATCTTTATAAATTTCTTGATGAATTAGGGTTTCCTGATATATTACCCTAGGATTTCTTTGAATCACGATGCTGTCCTTCTCGTAGAATTATTGAATAGTTTGATTCGGGGTTAGTCGCCTTTGTGCAGTGTTCCGTTTAACTTTAGATATGCAGGAGCAAACAACACAACATATTTTCTAGGTGAAATAATAGCACTTTGCTTCTGAATTATTGTTTGAGCTCTGGTTTATCTTTTATGTAAACAATGGAATAGTAGCATATTTTTGTTGTTAAATTGTCGCTGATCGTCAACTTTATTATACTAATAAGAGATGATGTAGATTCTCATTGGAAACCCTAGGAATAATCCTTTTAAATTCATGTTTGCTAAAGAAATTCTGACATCTGCATTGGGGTAAACCAACCATGTTAATGAAGCCTATGTATTAACATCCTCGTCAAAATTGTCTTAGTCTACCATATATTCATCTTCATTACATTCATTTGAGATATTCAAATTCAATCTAGATTTTTTTCACTTATTGGCTGTTTGATTGGTTAATCTGCATACATTTTATTAAAATTGATTTGATATGTATCACTGCTCACCATTGCATACAATGAAAATCGTAGTGCTGATGCATGTGTTCCTGTTTTTCATCTTATTATTGTGATGTAGTTTCTTCTGTGATGATAAGAATGTGATTATTTGGACTGCAGGTCATGTGCCGCCAAAATTCATGCTTGCATTTGTCTACAGAGGAAACAGATACAGTTGTAGATAATCTATTAATATATTTGTCTAAAACCCATATTCTTCACTTTTTGAGTTCTTTTTAACGTCTAAAATTCTTATAGTACAAAGTTATAACTGGAAATATATGTTCCTTGATTCATTTGTTTATTTTACTGATCATGAATAGGATCAAAAGGCACATGAAGCAATCTTGAAATGATTGAACCTACTAGGGTTTTCCCTATGAACTTTGAGGGACTTAGACATGCATGCTTTCTTGATCCAAAATTATAAGATTTCATTGCTTATCCCTCTTTTGTATTTCCTTAACTTTTCTAAGAATACAAACTTGCTCAGATTCTTGGGGTAAGAATTCTAACTTCTAAAAGTAAGATGGCAACCAATACATTATTAAATTTTTTCTTTATGATGACATTTTTTACATTCTTATGTAGAATATATTTTAGTTTTCATGGTTCCTGACTTCCTGTTTTTGTTGTTTGTTGCAACATCTTTTTTCAGTTCTCAATCACTCACATGTATGTTATGAATGCAAGTTCTGCTGGTTGTTTCCTTCTCTTCTTAGTCTCATCTAAATTATTGTAATTGCAGTAATCTTGAAGAACAAACTTCAACAAAAAACAGCTTCTTCAATAGACTGGCACAGCGTTTCCCATTTGTTTTTAATCTATTGAGGAGAGATCATTCACTGTCAAATGATACTTTCAAATAAGATGTCAAGACGATGAATATGACAAATTCCAATGAAGTGTGAAACAAGTAGCTTTAGAAGGCATATCTGGAGGTTATGATGATGACGCTAGTGAAATTGAGGATGTATCGAACAACAAATCCATGTATATCTACACTTTGAGGTTCAGTTGTAACTCATTTGTACTTTAATGTCTTTTAAGGTTCTCTCTCCATAAAAAACTTTAATTTATTTTATTATTAAGTATTTTTCTTTATGTTTTTTGTCTTAATTAAAATGTATGGTTGTTGTTAATTAGATAAAGCTAGATATAAATTTAGGTGATGTATAGCAGAAATGAAATATGCAAAATCAATTAATATTAGCTAAAGAAAGGTAATTAGCGGCGTTTGTATCAAAAAACGCCGCTATAGGTCTGACTTTTTGTGGCGTTTGTGTTCAAAAACGTCGTTATAGGTCTAACCTTTTGTGGCGTTTGTGTCCAAAAACGTCGCTATAGGTTTAACCTTTTGCGGCGTTTGTTCTAAAAACGCCAGTATAGGTCTTCTCTTTTGCGGCGTTTGTATCCAAAAACGCCGCTATAGATCTGACCTTTTGCGACGTTTTTTCTAGAAACGCCGCTATATATCATAACTTTTTGCGGCGTTTATTCCAAAAACGCCGCTATAGATATCGACCTTTTGCGGCGTTTGTTCAAAAAACGCCATAATAGATATTGACCTATTGCGGCGTTTTTTGTTCTCAAACGCCGCTAACTTTAGCGGCGCTGGTATTGCCGACGCTTCTTGCGGCGTTTTTCCTATCGCCGTAAATACTTTTAGCGGCACTTAAAAACGCCGCTATAAGACTAAAAAAACGCTGCTAAAACTCTGTTTTGCTGTAGTGGCTGTAAGCATGGGACCGCAAACAAGGCACCCTTTTGCCAAAAGACACAATTTTACAAAAAAACAATGTTTACAAATTCCCAGAAATCTTCTCATTGCTCGATAAGATTTTCCTAATAAAAGCTAATACTACTTTAATTATCTCACTAACCAGAAAACTAAAACTTTGGGTGAAACATCAACTCATTTGTGACAAATTTTTTTGATGTGATCATGGTATTTTTAGATCAAAATGTATTGCGGATCAATCGTTTTTCGTTTATCTTTTCAATACATCTTAAAACGTCTTAATCTTTTTAGAATTTAGAAAATATATAAGAGTCTTGAGTAATCCAATCTTCTGTTATTCCATCAAAATCAAAACAAAAATGCTTTGTTTCTCCTGTTAGTGCTTGAATATCACACAAATAAGCTGTAAAATTAAAGCATGATAATCCATAAAGTGTAGATTTGTCAACCTTTTGCAAATCTCCTGAATCTGATGGGATCTCTCATGCATGGTTAACCCAGAACAGGAATGTATGAACACATATAATGGAAACATTTATTTATGAAAACAGGAATAAGAAAACACACATAACTTTCTAGGTTCAACAATAAATGATATACAGAACCAAACCGTAGATGAACTTGAACATGGAACTATAAAACTGATATGAAAAGAAACTCGGATACCCCATGCATCCTTTTGCTCGTATGGTTTGATGGTTATATAAACATTACATATGATGAAACCACCAAATATGCATATACATGTTTGCTTGATCTGTTTTTCCTGGTAATTTTTCTGAATTCTGAGCAACCGAGAGAATCTGATCCAGACCGGACAACCCAAGCACAAACTACTTTTTCTCTCCCTCAAGGGATAGATGTGTTGTTTGATATGTAATAAGACTGAATCTTGTCATACACCACAACCTAATCCCCTAGCTTCTGATCCTTTCATGATTCTCAGTCTCTTGCATGATGTGACGAACATTCTGTAAACCAAACAAAGACAACCTTGTAAGTTTCACAATCATGTGTCTATATATGCATGTATAGGTATATATGTATGTGTGTGTACTTACTGCCAAGGAACATCACCGACTAGCATCCAGTCTCCATCTTTGTCTTCATACGTAGGCGCATAATCAGATCCTTTGTAGCCTTCTCTTTCAGAGTATTCACCTGAGGAAGATGAAATAATGTCAAGTCATTTTCATTAACTTACAAAGAAATGATCATAATACCTCATCAGAAATCCAAAATTCTTACCTACGGTGAACCTGAACATGTTCTCCAAAGCCTGCAACAACTGGGGATACCCCTTGTAAACTCTCAGGTCAATCTTTCTCAGATACGGTGCTCCATCCATGCTCACTTTCACATAAATCCCGGGCTCCGACTCTGTTTTCTTCGCCTGAGAGTTGTACTTCCTATAGGACTGGACTGGCGGCCACCCCACGATCTGTTCTCTACAAAGTTTCCAACAAAGCTCGTCCATTAGTTTCTTTTTAATCTGATTCCATAGAGTTAAAATCTTTGTTTTTGAATCATTACTTGGAAGGACATTTGATGCCATTAGCTCCACATTTCTCATCGTCCTGCAATGGTCGCTTGTTGGTTCTAACACTGGAAAGTGCTGCTGTTTCTTCTTCTTCTTCTTCTTCATAATATGTTGTTCCAGGCAACCCTAATCTGAGTTCAGTTGCCTTTAAGTTGAGATCATTCTCATATGCTGCACTGCTTTCCATTTTTCTTTCTTGTTGTTGTTGTTTTGCTAACATATGGTGTTTTCGTGGTGGGAATGGATAATTTTATAGGGTTTAATGAAGGGGGAAAGCCTTGTTATTCTCTCAATGCATGAATTATGGACAAAGGCAAGCTATGTTGTCGGTAGCAATGGCAGCAACTTTGAGGCAACCTGCCTTGTTATCAGGGGGACAATGGTGGAGACATGCTCAGCAAACCCAAGTTAAATTATATTAAAAACCTAATTCTTTTGGAATTGGTCGTGAAAAAGTAGGATTTTTTTAAAAAAAAATAATTAAAAATAAATAATAATTTATTGAAGAAAATTAAAAATGTAATTTTATTATTATATTATAATTTTAATAAAAATCAAAACCTTGTCCTCTGGGGATGAGTATGAAGTCGAGTTATCTGTCAAATCAATTTAAATTTTAACTTAATTTTTGAGGTAAAATTTTAATCGGATTAGACTCGATAAATATATATAATTTTATTTTTATTGGTTGAAATAATAATTTAATTAAAATATACAGAGAGAGTATTATTACAATTATTTTCAAATATAAGATAATTATATTATTATTTTGGGTCAAAAATTTTAACTCTAAACTCGAACCTCACCCAACTTGATATCAAATTTAAAAAAAATAATTTTATAACAGTAGTTCATATAAAAATCTATCGAATTCAAATCACAAACTCACTTCTAATTGTATATGATCTATTCCGAGATGGAGTTAAAAAACTCTATAAATCAGAATTGAGAAATAATTTTTGAGGTACTAAATAAAAAATTTACCATTGGATTACTATATAACTTTATATACATACTAGGGGCTTAATGAGTTGAGTAGTTTGTGAGCAACTTGAACTCGATTCGGTCAAAAATAGGTAAAAGCTTGATTCGGATTGACTCGATTCGAACTCGAGCTGGACTCAGATTGACTCGATTCGAACTCGAGTTGGACTTAGATCGACTCGATTCAAACTCGGGCTCGACTCGAAACCTAAACGAGCTGAGTTGATTAAAGTCTAACTCACTACCATTGGATTGCTATATAACTTTATATACATACTAGAGGCTTAATGAGTTGAGTAGCTCGTGAGTAACTTGAACTCGATTCGATCAAAATTAGGTAAAAGCTCGATTCGGATTAACTCGATTTGAACTCGAGCTGGACTCAAATTGACTAAATTCAAACTCAAGCTCCACTCGAAACCTAAATGTGCTAAGTTGAGTAAAGTCTAACTCAAATCGATAAGTTCACGAGCAACTCGTTAATTTTTTTTTAAATTTTTTAGTAGTTATCTTAAAAAATATTTTATTCAAAAATTATTAATTTACTAATAGATAATAAAAAGATAATAAATGACTAATCTATTAACTTTTTAATACAAAAATAAAAAAATACTAAATACTAAATTAACAATTATTATTTTATTACACCCAAAAATAAACCCTAGTTATCATTTTAATGCATTTGTGGATTATTATTTTGGAGTTTAAGGTTTTAATTTGTTTCATACACTCTTCTGATATATTTTTTTGTTAAATTATTAATTTAGGTTTATATTAAACTCTATACAGTATTAGTAGATTTTAACTATAGTTAAAAAAATAAGATGAAAATTTTGATTAGCTTAACGAGCACTGCCTAACTCATGATCGACTCGCTTGATAATCACCTCAGAACCTATCCTATATATATATTTAAGGTAATACTTAATGTATTAGAAAATAACATACTTAATCTCAACTCTAACTTTATTATTTTAAAGAAACTTAATAGTATACTTTTCATTTTTGAGGGACTAAGGCGTCTACCTATCTCTACTATATTCTCTACTTTTACCCTCACATGAATTTCGATTTCGATTTCGAGTTCGAGTTTTATAAATAAAAATAATAAGATATTAAAAAGATATATTTATTTAAATTCCGGTCCAATTAAATTTCAAAATAACAAAAATCAATATGTAGATTAAAATATTGAAGGACAACATCCCCATGTGATAAAAGGGTCCATATTGGGTGTAGGGTATGGGGAAGTGCAATACCGTGTGGGGCTCAAAGGGCTTCATTTTCATGGTGGACTGTGTCAGCTCTTGATTATTCCTAATCTCAGTTAAAATTCAAACAACAAAAATTAATTAATTAAGACTTGATTGCATTATACGTCCCCAATTTATGATTCTCATTTTAAATTAGTCCCTAAATTTTAAAGATTTTAATTTCATCCTTAAACTATGAATATCATTCTAAATTAATCCTCAAACTTTTGAACATTTCATTTTCAACCCCAAACTATGAACTTCATTCAAATTTGGTCCCTAAACTTTTTGAATATTTCAATTTTATCTTAAATTTTTCGTATATACGAATCAAATCTCTTGTTAATAAAATCATTAGATCAAGTTATATTATTATATGTTTTGGTGAAAAAATAAAATTTAGGTTAAACTATTTTTGAAATGGATTACATATTTGAATAATTTGGGGATAAAATTGGAAATCTAAAAGTTTAGAGACCAATGTAGAATGAGATTTAGAGTTTAGGGATGAAATTGGAATGTTCAAAAGTTTAGGGAATGATTTAGAATGAGAATCATGATGTGAGAATGAAATTGGAACGTTTAAAAGCTTAAGGAATAATTCAAAAAGAGGGTCATAATTTTAGGACATATGATGCAATCAACTCATTAATTAAAGCTTAAGCTTGACAGTGTTAAATTAATATTTATTACATTCTAACTTGGGAATATAAGTTCATTTAATCTAGCCTGTTTGCTGTTAATTATTAGAAAAGGGTACTAATATAATAATTTTTAAAGTATATAATATTATTTTAAAAATAATAATTGTATCAATAACTAGTTGGTATAGTGGGACGAAGTATTAGATCTCTTAAATAAGGTCAGGGATTTGAATCCTGACGATTGTGAATAGAGAAAACTGGGTTAAGAGGGCCGCCCTTGTCTTTATAGTATCTAATATGAATTAGTCGATCAATAAATTATATACCGATGGTTATAAAGAAAAAATAAGGATTTTGATGATATAATATAAGGTTGAATAATTCATATGGACGGTCAATTGAGGAAGAGACGGGGCATAAAAATTATTGAGGAGGGTCCATTTCAGCCTCACCTGTGCATAGGGATAGGCATGGAACTTGAACCCGACGGGTTCCGACCTAATCGAGTCGGGTTTTTTAATAAAAAAAATTGGGTTTGAGTCGAGTTTTTTAAAGTTGATGTTCGGATCGGGTCTGATTCGGATTTAAGGTGAAAAATATCTTACTCGATCCGACCCGAAAAAAATATAATTTTACCTTATATATTTAGGAATAATTACAATAATACTCTTCTATATATTATTTTTTTCAATTAAATCACTGCTTTTATTAAATAAAAATAATATTATTATTATTATTTCGGGTTGGATCGGTTCGGATCGAGTGGATAGTATATATTTTCGGGTCAGATCAAGTGAATGATGTAAAATTTTAAGGTCGGGTTGACCGAAACCCAACCCATGCCCATCCCAACCCGTGCACATTAAAAAGATGTTTAATCATTAATATTGTTGTTATGAATTAGTCATACATATAACATCCAATCCCTATTATTTGATAGATTTTGTTCACAAAAAAATCTTTTTTTCCAAGCAAACACGATCCACGACAAAATAATATATATGGTTAGTATTTGTCTATTTGATACATTATTAATGGAATATTTTTTTAATTAATTGTTTATATTCGATTTATTGATCGACTAATTCAAATCGAATAATTCAAATCGAATGTTGCAAATGTTTATTACCAGAGTGACTCTTCCAACTTAGTTCACTCCATTCATAACGTTAAGATTCAAACTCTTAATCTTATTTTAAGCATCCAATGTCAAGCCCTGTCGATGAATTATTTTAATTCTATACGACGTGATTAAATACTATCACACGTCCTAAACCCTAAAATCTTGAACTAAATTATAAATATTAAAACTTTGACTCTAAAATCTATACCCTTAATGTTATATATATCATTTATATATTAAACATCATATAAAATATAAGGATAATGCACGAATCAACTTATCTCAGTTGTTAAAGGAATCGTTGTTGTTAGATAAATCTTAAAAATTCCAAAAAATTATTTTTTTGACTATACTAATAGTATATCATATATGAAATATTTTTCTATTTATATATCATTAAAAAAATATAAGGATAATGCACGAATAACTTATCTCAGTTGTTAGAAGAATCGTTGTTATTTCAAAAGGTCACGGGTTTGAACACCAACAACTGCGGTGATTGATAATTCATTGTTAAATGGTTTAAGAGGTATTTAGAACATATATTACCTTAGCTTAATTAAAAATATATATAAGGATAAATACCTATTTAGACCTTTAAATTTTGGTTTATTTTGATTTTGTCATCTCATTTTTTATTGTTATTATATTTTGCCCTCCTTAAACTAGAATCCTGGTTCCGTCCCTGTATTCCATAACGGCTTGAGCATCGAAACATGTTCCGAAAACCAAACCTAACGAGGGATTCTCTTACCAAAGTTTTAGCACAAATTGATGTTCGAGCACGGTAGCTGTATTTGCATGCATGCATGGGATATTCATTCACACGCGGTTATGGCACCATTATTGCTCCAGCAATGCAAACGACAGCAATTGCGACGAAATATCTTTGCACCAACTTGTTAGTTAAAACTTGTGGTACTCCTCGAAACTCAAAGCCTGTGTCTTTTGTGGTGCCTGAGGAGTGTGACCTTAAATTTGATCGCGATGTTTAACAAACTCGAAATCGGAATTTCTCGGATTCTATTTTCGCAGAATTTGATCCTCTAAGAACTTCCCCAGGTTGGATAATGCATTCGAATACGACTCATCGACGGTTGGAATCCGCAAAGCTTTCAACTACGACTCGTCAACGTTAAGATTCAAAGTCATTAAATACGACTCCGTCAATGTATGAATTAATAACTCATAATCTAATGTATTCATATTTATCGAATGCAGATATAATAGATATTCCACGC